TCCTTCCCACACAGCTTCAAGTCCCGGGAGGTGGGCACTACCACCTCCACCTTCGGCACCAGACAATGCCTGGTGCACAGGAAGCGTCCTATAAGAATGAGCCGACTATTGCGATGTTCAAATGATCAATGTTGTTACTGCAATTGCTGATACGGAGAGACGTGGAATTTAGATCCAGAAAGGCTGGGTGCTCTGCTGGCCTCACTCGGCCAGTAGGTGGGAGAGACAGGCCTGCATCCAGCTGTTTGGGCTCCCGCCCTGCTTCATCCAGCTGCCCTCGGCTGCCTCGACCACAGATTTAAGCCTTTTCCAAGTTAAGAAGGGGATGTGGCCCATTAAACCCGTGCTGCCTAAGCTCTGCCATGCTTAAAAACCAAAAAGAGAAGGAAAGCACAGTGGGAAGGTGGCTGCCTATTTAAGAGCACTGAAGTATCTGTCACCTAGTAATATTTTTATTTTTCATGATGACTTAACTGGAAAAAGTCTTAACTTCTTCCTACCCATGGGGCACAGGAAAAGCAGAAATGAAAGCCTAGAGCAGAAATCAGCCCCCCAGGCACTTTTCCTCCAAAAAACCAAAGGTACCTTGGAAGATTTTATAGAAGTCACAGCCTCACGCTGCCTAGCACTTCTCTCCTTCCTGCCCCCAAGCCATCATTCTGTCACCTTCTTGAGAAAGGGATCATGGGCTGCTTGCCATGGAAAATAGCCCACTTCTAAGTGGTGATGCGTGACAGAATGTCTCGGCTTCCAGGGGGTACTGAGCTGAGCCATGCCAGAGAGCCTTTTATTGCAAGTTTCTCTGGACTGAGGAAGAAATTTCCTCTGAGCACTCTGAGAAGTAATCTTATAGATCAAAATTATACAAGGGAGCACACGGCTAAGAAGATGAAGTCCTTGCTGGACCCAAGCCAGCGTGTCCCATGTGATAATTCTCAACAAATCTTTGGGCTCTTTCTTGGATCACATCCCCACAGGGGAGGTCAATATGGAGAGAAGTGACATTCCTACACTGCTTCCTGGTTTATAAAATGTTCTTACATACCCTAGATCTTCACAACAATCCAGGAAGGAAACGGGCATTACTGCATTGTTTTAAAGGTATGAATACTAGCATTGCCCAAAGTAGCATTGTGCAGGGTCCTTGTACAGCTCTAGGGGATGCTATTCACATATTCTGTGCAGTGTACAACCTTGGCAACTGCTCACAGCAGCACTGTATGATGGCTAGTACGTGTCAGAGTCAAGATTCTGACCCTGTGCTTCCAACCCCAAATGCCCTGTCAGTTCAGCAGGCTTGCCCTCAGGAGCACAGGACAGGGCAGCTCTCGGTGACTGATGAGTGAATGGAGTGAACAATCTTGCTCTTGTCTTTGCCTTTGTTTACTATAACCTCCTCAATTAAAAAAAAAAAAAAAAAAAAGAGAGAGGAGCCTCTACCCTCTCTAAATATGGTCTCTGCCCTCTCAAGGTGCTCACAGGTGAAAACTCTCCAACACAGAGTAGTGTGGGGTAAACCAGGAGACAGCGTCAGTAGCGGGAGGGGAATCAGAAAAGCCTGGTGGAGAAGCAGCTTGGGAACCGCCTTCAGAGCCAGAGCCAGGGACAGAGAGAAGTGAAGGTGGTGAAATCTGAGTTGCTGGAGTGGCAGGCAGGGCAAGCATAGCGCAAGACAAAGGCAAGGAGGGCACAGGGAGCGACCCAGGCTGGTGGGACACGAGTGGGGCTGGTTGTCCACAGCCCCAACACCAGGCAGGTGAGGTCTGAGGTCTGAATGAATGCAGTCAGGCTGTGGCGGGGCACAAAGGTGTGATCTGAGGAGCAAGGGGCCCAAGGAGGTCTTTGGAGAGATGAGTCGGCTACCTGAACAACCGGGCTGAGGCTATAGAAAAGCCTGGTCAAGGAAGACAGTCAAGTAAGGGCTGGGCACCAAAGCCTGATACCTGCCAGGCTGCAGCCCAGAAGGCCCAGGGCCAGCCCCATAAGTGAGAATGCAGGCGTGCGAAGAGAGGACCACGCTTAACACTCAGCTCCAGAGGACCTGCTGGGGAGCTGATCCTGACCACGGACTTCACCTGGAGTAAGATGACCCAGAGCCCAGCTCAGCGTTCTCAGGGTCTGTCTCTCTGTGAAGTCCTAGAGGAGGCACTCGCACTACAGAAAACCTCCAGGAGGCAGGAGTTCCCCAAGTGCCCTGTGTGTCTGCCTGCACACGCTGTTCATTAACTTCAGTGACACAGCCACCATGGTGGATGTAGAAAAGCACATCCAATTAGCCAGGCCTACATGAATATTTGCACTCTTAAATCTTTTGCATTTCGAAAGGGTTAAAGCTTATTATTAGCATATAATTTACAGTCCTTTCTCCCAGGAAAGGAATAATGCACAGTAAATGCCACATTCATTTTAATAATACATGTTACAGTCTGTGCCCAACATCTGCACAAAGGTAAAGGAGACAGATTTTTTTGACATGTCCCACTCTGCCATCTAAACACAGGCTTTTTGTTTCTTAAGTGACGGAAGGTTTAATCAAGAAAGCAGGCAATTCATCAATCGAAACAAGGCAGCGTGCGTGCGCCTGACAGCACACACATGGTTGTGTACAGAGCAAACCTGGCCACCTGTCAGCCGCACCTTTTACATCAGGATATACAAATACACCATGTGATCAATTCCCCATCCGTTCCCATTCATTTCTTCTTTTTCTTATTCTATTTTTCTTTATACTTGATTTTGTTGTCAGTCAGGGCAAGAGGAGATGGATAGATAAGGGTTCTTATAGGGGATGATAAAAATGGTTCTTATAGGTGATGATAAAAATGTATCTGCCTTTAAAATGACTTCTTTCCTCCTTGGTTCAAGCACAATTATTATAAATACCTTTTCACTTCATTCGGGAATTTTCCCATATGCTATTATCAGTGGCTGTGCCAAACTGATGTTCCTGTCTCAGATCCTGGCCCACCTTCCCATACGCTCACCCACTACCAATTGAGCCAGTTGTCGGGGTTTATGAAAATCCTCTGTGGCGTGAAGAACCTCAGGGAAGCCGGGGTCGGAAATGCAATGCCACGCCGAGCCACGAGAACATATCCACTGAAAGGCCACAGGGACACCTGTGAAAGCAGAGGCTAACACTACTCAGGGGCTTGCACCAGAAGACAGCGGCCCTTTCCCTCCTTGCTGGTTCCCTCCTTGCTGCCAGGAGCACACTCACTCAGCCCACACCCTCACCCTAGCACAGGGAAAAGGAGAACCACAGGCACACCCAGAATGTGGATGCAAATTCTGCAGCATCAAACCATGAACATTACAACATGCCAAACAGTTGTGTCAGCACACCTGACACAGGAGAGAACAGTGCTTCTCAAGTACCCTATTGTTTTGAGTCTTTTACCCTTCCTTTTCCCAACCCTGCAGTGCTTTCTGATCATTAAAGTATTAAATTTATTCTCAATTTTCCGGGTGAGTTTTTTTTTTTTTTCCTAATTGAGAGACAGAAATCATGTAATCACTGCAAATGAAAGGAAAATATGTTTGGAATTGTTTGGTATGCTGTAGATGAGTTTTTAAATGATCACATTGTAAGATACACATTTTTTTCATCATAAGATGAAAAGCTGGTGGCAGAAATTTTATCCAATTGGATGAAATATATAAATCATGAATTTCATAATACTGATAATTAAATGTCCATCTTCCAATTTAAATGAGGACTAGATTAAAACTGCATGGAGAAGGCTGATATTCAGAAATCATTAATTATTTTTAATTGCTTTGTGCTTTCCTACTCCAATGTCAGAGCTACATGGCTCACCCACGGTTCTGAGTTACAGATAAAATCCTCCTTCTCTCTGTACAAGGGGCCATGATCCAAACTGACGAGATGATGGACACTGACTTGACCACAACGACATCTTTCCTGGTGTCAAACATCCTGAAAGGGGGGCTGGTATTTTAAAAAGCGAACAGCTGTGGAGGGCAATAAGCTGGCTTTTCCAGTAATCAAAAAGAAAACTGAAAAAAAAAAAATGCTGAAGGCAGAGTGGCCAATGCACCCCAGTCTGCCCGGACAGATCCAGGTTAAGGCTTCTGTCCTGGGACAATTGTGTGCCCCCTTCACTTTTATAGTCAGCCTAATGCTGATGGATAAATGAAGATGTCAGTGAGCCAATCTGTCTAGGTCCTAAAGAGGAAAGCAATCCTACCCCACAGCTCACCGCACTGTGTGGCTTTGCGGCGTTTCTGCATGGTGGCTCACCCTGCGTTCATGGGGTGTTTGAGATTTTTTGGTTTTATTATATGCCAGTTTTAATAGGTATTTGCTTAATTTTATTATGTCGTTTTCTTCAAGAGGGAAAAAATAAGCTTTCTTTGGTTAAAAACTGTGCACTCGGAGATAGAAATCAGATTATAACAACAAATACAACAAGAGAATAGTATGGTGTGGTTTCCCATCCTATGGTCCCCTGTATGTTAAGCAAAACCTGCCATAAGACAAAAAACCTTCCTAGGTTAGAAAAGCCGCACTGCGCTCTCCTTGGCGGCGCCTCTCCATACAGGAAGCCTCTGGTGCAGCAGGTTTGGGCAGCAGGTTGGGGAAGATCTGTCTTTCCTGACATTCCCCGAGGTCTCCAGCCCCATAAGGTGCCTGACGCCCACCACAAGAACATTTCTTAAGAAACATCTCACTCAACTTTCAGACATTTTAGGTTCATTTCAAACAAGTAGATGTCTGCCCAATACACGGAGATATATATATATATATATATATGCGCTATTCTTATCAAACTTACAGTTATAATTATTGAAAAGCAATTGCTATGTTGTTTACAGCATTTTATGGAGCCCTCCTTCCCTGCCTCCAGGTTATAAATATTTACATTTCTCTCATTCATGTCCAGCGTCCTCTGAGATTTCTACTAGTTTTAATATGTATCCGTAGGACTAACACTCATATGGCAATAATGTGGGAAAGTGCAGAAATAAAGAAATAAAGAAAACAAAAGCAGTCATTTCGGCAGCAGAGGTTTTTTTGCTCATTTTATTCAGTTTTCCAAGGAATGCATATGTGGGAGTCAGTGCTGACCCACGGGGCCCTGTTTATGAGGAAGGACAGCTCTTCGGGCTCAAGAGAATAGTTTAATTCTTCCAAAGCAACTAGCTTGTTTCTCTCTTATCCCTAAGGGACAGCCCTCTGCTTCAGAACCTAATCTAGATATCCCCTGCAAACAGCCACGCCCACTTTCTATCCTGTTTCCATTCACTTGTGTTTCCTCACTTCCGTTTCCATTTGGCCATATGTATTTCTGGAGCTACCTTAAATCCTTCTAGAATAGATGAAAGAGAAATGAATGAATGGGCAGACATCTAAACATATAAAAAATTCAAAGAAAAGAAAGGTAGGGTGGCACCATTTGGGACTAAAATAGAAGACTTTTCAGGAAAGATAAGATGTTCTTAAGAAAACTAACAGCCACTAAGAGTCCTGACCAGGAAATCCCAGGGTTGGGACTGGAGTAGAACTTAAGAGAAATCCACATGACCCGGAAGAGGTCTCTCCGAAGACATAAGATCTTAAAGGCATGCTCAAAAAACCAAAAGCACAAAGCTACAGGGGTCACACCAGTGAGACCAGCACCAGGAAAGCTACAGTCAGCAAGGTAAGAAACATCAAAAAAGATTGTTTTTAAATATTTTGTTTAGAGCAAGAAAGAGGATGCATAGCACCCATGGCTTAGGAGTGATGACCCTAACCGGGGTTGGCAAATGTTTTCTGTAAAGGGCCAGAGAGTAAATATTTAGGATGTGTGGGCCATCCGGTGTTGGCTGCACACAGCTAACTCTGCCATTGGAATGTGAAGCAGCTAAGGACCATTTGTCAAGGACTGGGCATGGCTGTGTTGCAATAAAACTTTATTTACAAACATTAAAGTTTTTCATATAATTTTCACATGTCCCTAAATATTACTCTTTTTATTTTTGTCCAACTATTTAAAAATATTAAAACCATCCTTGGCTTGCAGGTCATACAAAACAGGCTGTGGATGGGATTGGGCCATAGGCTTTAGTTTGCCAACCCTAATCCAGATGGATAACAGAGTGAGCCAAGCCAAGCGACCATCATTTTATCTTTTTAGGGAAAACCATCTTCAAACCCTACAGAGCGACACAGTGATGGGGAACGTGAAGAGCAAGGAAGGCAGGGAGGTGGCTGGAGCAGCCCACTGCTTGCCTGACCAGTCCACATCCAGAGGGACAGCAGGATGTAAAGGATGGTGCTGGAATTACAGACAGTGATCTCTGAGGAACTCGAGTGAAAAGGTGATTTCAGGGGACTGGATAACAGGGGAAAAAAAATCATATTTTCTAAAAGTGACAATAAGAAAATTATTGATCTGTGGTCTGGAAATGATCTGCAGTAAACTTTGAAAGCATATTATGAGTCAGAGGCGGCTCGTGAGCGCTCAGGAGAAAATGGTGATCCTGCAGGCCAGCAGGGTTTACCAAGAACATGACACGTTCACATCAGGTCTATATTTTTTCTTACTGTAAAAGCAACACATGCTATTATGGAAAATGAGTAACTGCAAAGAGGCCAAAAAAAGAGGAAAGTCCCAAGAAAATCACTATAAACACTTAGGCGTGGACCTTTCCAGACCTTTAGATGTATTTTTTGTTAATTTAAAAAAATTAATTAATTTTTTTAAGAGACAAGATCCATGTTCCCCAGGCAGGAGTGCACAGCTATTTCCAAAGGCCATCATAATAGCGCATTACAGCCTCGAACTCCTGGCCTCAAGGGATTTTCCCTCCTAAGTCTCCCGAGTAGCTGGGACTACAGGCATGTACCACCACTCCCAGCTTAGATGTAATTTTTAAAATGAGATCACACTGCACATTCTGACTTGTTACCTGTTTTTCTTTCCACTTAACAATATTCATATATATCTTTTAATCTAAGTCATCACTTCTGGATGGCTGAAAAGTTAAGGCTACTGTATGGTTGTTTTGTAATTTAAGCATTCGTCTTTGTTTGGGGCATTTAAGATCTATCCACCTCTCACCCCTGTCTTGAAGTATTATTTTTGAGAAGTGGCAGTGCTTATCCTTGTGGATAAATCTTTTTGCACATCTGTATTTTCTAGGAGATACTGCTAGGACAAGTGTGAGGATGGATGCTGGCTTCGTGGCCGTTTGGATTAGGGTACAAGAGAGCAGAGCGCAGGCCACAAGTATCTCAGGATTTCAGGACTGAGTTAGAAAGAGCTCCTCATCCCACTTCTGTGGTCAAGAGAGAGATATGACTGGACTGTGTAGAACACCTGGCAGATTTTGGCCGGCAGAATGCGCAGTATCTCAAATCGCTGGGTGGATGTGAAAAAACAGGAAGACAGAGCCCATCTTAACGAGGAAGCATCTCACAGGGATGGGTGGGCTGGTAGGAGGTGGTGGTCCCAGACACCGCAGGCATTCAAGCAGCAAATCAGGATGGCTACCTGGCCCAGGGGTCTGGGAGGGTACTCCTGTGCAAGGCAGACAGGGGGCTAAATGCTTTCCTTCATCTCTTCCTTCCTTCCATGACCACATCACGAGCACTGCTGTGTGCCAGGGATGGGTCTACATATCGTCTCCACTGGTGTCTCTTGCAACTATGCGCCATGTCTCACCCTTAGCAGGCATGGTGGGAGCAACTGTCTTAGTGAAAGATACAGGAAAAGGGATCTACTAGCAGGTATACCACTGAGCGAACATTTAAAAGTTAATACACTTCAACAACCATACATACACGTTAAGTGTGGGCTGTTTTTCAAATTTCTAATTACACTGTTTTGAAATCTACTTCTCTTAGGAAGGGACGGAACACTAAGGGAGCAGTAATCGAATGTCTTCAGGAGGGACACAGGGCACGCCAGGAGTCTGCACCAAAGGCTCAGCTCCTGAAGTCTGCAGTGAACCTGTGCCAGGGCCAGTTCAGAGGCAGAACGGTTTGATGATTCATTTCATTATCAGCAGAACTCCAGCTATCAAGGCATCGGTACTGGGCAAGGGCTAGGGTCTGGGGCACACTTTGCCTTAACTGTTTTTGGAAGAAACCAGTGGAAACCCTAACTTCACAGTACCAAACTGAGATAGGCCACTCGGTGCCAAATACCGTTCATATGGGGGTGAGGGGGGTGGTCTCTGCTCCCTCCTAGCCAGAACGACTCGCAGGCAGGCTGCCAGTGGGTGGGCGGGCAGGCTTCCCAGTTGCACCATAGTTGCCCAGTGCTGAGCTTGCAGGCCTTATGGAGCCAGCAGGTCCTGCAGGGTATTTCTGGCAGCAACACAACGAAGCGGTCCTAGACCCTGGCAGAGCAATTTGGTGCTTGCAGCCGCTGAGGAGGCCTGAAACTGCCCTGCTGCCGGGGGCTGCAGCCTCGACTACCTCTGTTTGGAAGATAAAATCCAATTGACTGCCACTTACATAAATGTAACAGGAAGTTTCTGAATGGCTTCCCCTGTGTCTTGAGGCTGTTACCTTGGTATTGCTAAACTAACAGCTGAAATGAACCCAGACAACACCTCATCAAAGCTGCGGGGCGAGGAAGCAGCGGTCCAGAGGCAGACAGCGGTGTTCCTGCCAAACCATAGGAGATTTCACTCCGTGGCTCTTTCCTGCAGAAACGCCAACAGCTGGGAAAGCCATCAGAGAACACAGGTAAAGTGGGTGTAGCCGAACGCTGTGGCTGGAAAAAGATTTGCGAGCTGCAGAAAAAAAGTCATCCGTTTTGATGGAGCTTCCCTTGTGTGCATTCTGAATGGGGGCGCCCTGCCGGATTCCACAGGCCTGTTCTGCACCTCTATGCCACTAAGCATCTGGGGAAATATTCAGCTTTTCTACAAAATAGGTCATCTTTCCACACTTGTTATGCTCCTTGTCGACTCTGCTGAAATAGCCACAGCACAAAAGAAATTCTCCCTGGAGATGCTGTTTTTAGACAAACACGTTCGCTCTCCCCTTGGAGAGCCTGGCTCCTGGAGTGGAGCCAGGGATGGGGGCTTAAGAACATCCCTGTTCCTCCCCTTCCCAGCAGGAATGTCACCCAGTAATGGAACAACTGGCTTTTGCTTATACTTCCAAACCTATTAGGGAGTGATCATAACGAGAAAAACTAATACTGACAAGAATTATGCCATTGTTCTATTTCATCTATTTAGTAACCTGTAGTTGCAATTTTTAGAAAAAAGATTACCTTTTAAATAACCGATTCATTATGGTACATGAATGAATGCCATGTTCCTGTGTTCAAAATGCCACTCACCATTAAGGGTGTGTGCTGGTAAGTGGCACCGATTTGCCACTTTCCCCTTACATACAAACACCCCTGACTGGCGGCCCAGGATAATCGGAGGCGAGTTTGTGGGTTTCCTTGGCTCTTAGCAAGTCACCTGTGCTGCCAAGCACCTAATGAATCTCAATTCTGTAATAAGGCTTGTAAGTTTTCCCCTCCCTGGGTGAAGGTGAAAAGGAAAACTAGGACTGATGAAGTTCCCGCCAAGGTAACACTATCAATTTCAAGGCCGAGTTCAGAAACCACAGACTCATGCTCCAGGGGTGTGAGGGGAGACCGCCAGTGTACCCTGTGGCCACAAACCTGGCTGTGAGAAATGAGAGGTGAGGACAGACTTGGATATGGGAGGGTGAGCCGACCAGGGCTCAGCTTGGCGCTGCTCTCGAGGCCCCGTGGGAAGCCTGCCGGGGTCTGGCAGGTGAACAATGTGGCGAGTATTCTCTGGAAACCTCCCTTCAAGTCTGTGAAATCCACACATTGTTTTTCATCATTAGTTTCAAAACATGCTGAGTATTTGGCCCTTCTCTAAGTTCCGAGGCGACACAAAGGAAAGGGAAGGCCTGGTCCCTGCAGGGAACAGGCCTCTTGCAGGGAAGAAAAGAGAGGCAAGGCAGACAGATCCCATGAGAAGGCAGAGAACGTGTGGAAGGAGGTGGTGCCCGGGACGCAGACTCCGTAGCTGGCCTGCACAGTGGCTCCACGTACCTGATATGGCATACAAATTGGAGTGCTGGTACTCGTAGTCCGTCCGCGTGCTGTTCCTGCCTCGGAAGGTGGCAGGAAGTGTTAGAGAGATGTGCCTGAGGAACAGAAGGAGGAGAGAAAGGAGGTTACAGGAGCATTCCGCAAGACTCAGGAAGCACTGACACCATCAACAGCTGAAATGCAGCACAGAGCAGCGGGCGGAGATGGTGGCTCTGGCCAGCGCCTCCTTCTCAATCAAGCGTGACTCCTCCACCGGGCTCAAGTCCTCTCAAGGAATTTGAAAGTTTCTAGATATCACAGCCACCTTTTTTTCCCCATACTAGAAAGGACATCCAAGAGGAAGAAAGTATGTCCCAAGCCTTACAGCAGGCCCAAGATACTCTGTGGGGTGGCGGTTTGATCCAGATCTCTGCCCACTGGGCAAAATGCACCAGTGGGACCGTAACACCCAGGCACTGAACACCAGCCTTGGTTTATTCCAGGAGCCATGCAAATGCTTCCATTCCTACACCGCAGGGCTGCTGAGGATCACTGCACATGAAGCCCTTTGTAAATAAAGGTGTTGGGAATTACTACTGCCTTATGAGTTCAGGAGACTAATGACCTCTGAAAATCAGAATGGCACATCGCTCTCAACTGCTGTGTCTGTGTGTTCCCCCTCAGGCAGCGCACACAGTAGGTGCTCAGGAAAGCACCTTCCAGACAGACACAGCACGGTCTTTGATGGCTCAGGCGTGAGCCATTAAAGCTTACAAAGAACACACAGCCTAAGTGAGCATTTAGTCAAAAGTAAACAATCCATTTGGCATGGTCACCAGCTGCCTGTAGTGAATGCTGAAAAGAAAAATTAAACGAATAGGAAAATATTTAAAACCCAACAGGTCCGGGGGAAAAAACAAGAACAAAACCTCTTGGTGGGATGACTGGAGGCTGTGCTGCAATAGCTCAGAGCCTAACCTGTGGCCACACCCGACATTTCCGAAAAGGAAGAGACTGGTGGAGGCAACGCTTATCACATAAAGTAAGCCGTCAATCACTGGGTGCCTTTTTCACACAGCACATGTGTGACCTTCTAGAATGACTGCTGTGCATAGACACTCCTGGCAGGGCCGGGCGCGGTGGCTCATGCCTGTAATCCCAGCACTCCGGGAGGCCGAGGCGGGTAGATCACCTGAGGTTGGGGGGGTTTGACACCAGCCTGGCCAACATGGTGAAACCTTGTCTCTACTAATCCCAGCTACTCTGGAAGCTGAGGCAGGAGAATCGCTTGAACCTGTGAGGCAGAGGTTGCAGTGAGCTGAGATCATGCCATTGCACTCGAGCCTGGGCAACAGAGCAAAACTCTGTCTCAAAAAAAAAAGGGTCCTGGGAGGAAAGGCTCTCCAGGGAGGGGATCTTCCCACAGGTCCAGGATTGAGCTGGAAGCGGAATGACCCTTCCAGGGGCAAGGTGACCACCAAGGGCTGTGAAGGCATTGGGTCTGCCAGTCGCACAGTGAGAGCTCATGGCGGACACTCAGCCACGGCCCAGCCAGGCTGAACCAAGCACCAACCGTATGCTCGGGGCTTCGGGGAACCAGCAGACACATGCACAGTAAACGTGTCCACTGGGTGCACTGGCTTGCATGGAGGGAACCTGAATATTCTTTGTTACTGCTGCTAACTAAGGGTACAGAGGTGAGCTCCCTCAGCTCAGGCTGCAGGGAATAAAGGTGCAGAAACAAATCACAGTGCAATGTGACATGTGCTCGGGGAACAAGAAAAACTGAGTGCTGGTAAACATGAAAAGAAGGAATATATTCTGCTAAAGGGAATGGGGCTTCAGGACCCCTCAGGGATGTTACAGGAGTGAAAGGCACCCACCGGGGAGTCCGAGAGAGCCAGCACTTCCCCATAGGGTTAGGGTACACGTCGGAAGCGGAGCTAGAAATGCAGCCAGGGCCAGATGGAAAGGGCGCCAAACACCATTGCAAGAGGCTTGGGTTCAAACTCCTAGGATGGAGGTTCCTAAACTCCCGTCATGGCATTAATGAAGGCGTCAGTCACCTGGGAACTTGCTACGACACAGACTCAGAGGCCCTGACCCTGGGGAGTCCGATCCCGTGGGCCTGGCTGGGTGCAGCCCAGAAATCTACTTTGAACAAGCTCCAGCGGTGAATCTGAAGGCTGGCCAGGCCTGGGAACCCTGCGAGGGCGAGGAGCAGCTGTAGAAGGGTTTTCAGCAGTTCATCAATGTCTCTGACCACAGCACTTAGTCAATGAAGCTGAGCAAACAGAAGAGTGAATTATCGACTGTGGTTGTGGTTGAGCAGAACTGAAATGATGACAGGTGACCCTGCTGAGAGCATCACCAGGTGCCAGCCCTGGGACTGCAGGTGTCACACATCCTCCTGTGGCTCCTCACAACGCCCCTCGAGGCAGGTATGGGAGCAGTTACACATTATGCGCGGCCCAGGGTGTGTTGATAACATGGGGCCCTTATTCAAATGCTATCAAGAATTTCAAGACGGCAACAGCAGAGCATTAAACCCATGGTGGGGCCCTTCTGAGCACAGGGCCTTGTGTGTGTGACCAAAAGGATCTAGGGTTAGGTGCTGTAACTGCACTCACTGTACCAGTGAGGGAATTTCCAGGAGCCAGGAAAGTATTTTGCTTCATTTTGCCAGACTAAGATTTCTAAGCCTCCAAAGCCCTAAAAAGATGCACGCAACCTAACAAGGATGCAGAGCGATCTGTGCAGTCTAGTAAATACTCCAGGGGCTAGAAGCATTCAGGGAGGCTCACAGAGGAGGCAGGAGCATTAGCAGAACTTTGGGAGCCAGGTGGACATGGATGATGGCAAAGAGGACAGCCAGGAGGCAGAGGAGAAAATGGGGCCGGCTGAGCTGTTGGGTGGTCAAATATGCATCAACACAGATCTATGGGGGACTCAGTGGTGGCAGGACAGGCAGGGGGATACGAAAATATCCATAAAGTTACCTGAACACTTGCTTACGAGTGTGATAATTTCCTATGGAAAGTGGGAAGACTCAAGTGCTATGAAGGGCAGGGTAGGAGGAGGCTCCCTGGAAGGCTTCCCGGAGGAAGGGACATTGAGGTGGGAACTGAAGATAGGCAGAAATCAGAGAGATGCAGCAGGGAGGAGGGGTGTGCACCTGAGGCTCTGTGGGGAGTCTGACTTCCTCCAGACTTAGGAGGAAGCCAGGGTTGCCAGGCCTAGAAGGCCAGGAAGAAGGTGGGGCCAGGCCACGTGGAGCCCAGCATCGGTTCTGCCTTTCTCTGGAAGGATTTTTAAGCAGAAATGTGCCAAGATCCAATTTACAATTTCAAAACCCTGCCCGTCTGTGGGAGAGTGAGGAAATAAAACTAAGATGCCAGTGGGGATGGGAATGGTAGCAGCAAATGATCACGAGCCTACAATTATTCACCACCTACTTTGTGCAGAGACTTCATTCCTGTCAACATGACTTGCCACACACCCGCTAAATGGACAGTTTTGGGGAAATTTAGGACTTAAAAGATATATATGAGCAATAACAACAACAAAAAAGTATATGAACAACAGAGAAATCAAGGGGCCCGGCTCTCAAGCTGCCCCATGCAATACTGATGTCTGGGACCAAACTTGATTGTCCCTCCAGGGCCTCAGATTTTCCGTGGCTCGCCCTGCAACTCACCCCCTGCCCCAAGTTCTCTTCCTTCACTGGAAATGATTCTTTCTGCCCACCACTCCCGCCCCAACTCCCACTTCACCTCCAACCTTTGCGAGGTTGCTGTTTGCAAGGTTCCTGGCTTAGCTGTCTTCTCCCTCCACACACTTCCACATCCCCGGCACACCAGCCCCGCTTCCAGATTGTGCCTCTTGCCACTACTTACTTCCCCTCTCCTCCAGGAAGAGTGGAAGCCTTGTTAATCTCTGAACAGGCCTTGTTTTTCTCATGCCTAGGACTGATTCTTTATCCATGCCACTCCCTCTTCCTAGGAATCTCCATTCTTCCTTACCTACTCTCCAAACTCCTATTCATACTTCAAGATCCCACCCAACCATCCCCTCTTTGGTAAAACCTTTCCTGGGCTTGCCCCAGACTGACTTGGATGCCCGAGTGTCTTCTCTCACCCCACTCCAGGTGTCACAAGACACTTTGGTCATCTGATACAAAATTGTCCCCAATGTGATTGTGACCTCCTCAGGAGCAGGGCCAAATATCATCAATTTTGTACTTCATTTTCTGGGATACTTTTTTGTCACAGGGTAGACAATTACTGACCATTTGTTGACCAAATCAAGTGCTGCAGTTGGCCCACGAAAACTCGTGGGTTTCTTTTTTGACATGAACTGCTGTTAGTCTCTATCATTTCATTTCTCCCTGTGTGTATTTTCCCAATTAGACTCCAGGGGTCTCTGTTGTATACCCTGAATCTCACCTCTCCATTATGGAGGAAACCCGGTATGGGTAAGAAGAAATCAGCAGCAGCAGCAACCAGGAATTTACAAGAGGGAAAAAAAAGAAAGTTTCTGTTCATACACTATAGACAATGTGTGCCTGATGCAGCAAATGTGAAATTAAAAGAGCATTCGAGTCACAGGCTGACTGTATCTTTTGCAGAATAACTGCTCAGTAGGGATCTGCTGAATTGAAATCAGGTTACTGAATACTCCAGCTAAAGTAGCTGATGCAAGAGTGGGTAAGGGACGGCAGTCAGAGAGTAGCAGGTGGGAAGGCCCCCTGGGCAGAAAAAGCTTTAGGGAGAAGGGCTCCTCCCTACACAGCAAATAGCTTCCCCTGCATTTCTGCTTCCACTGTTCCTGGACACAGGAAGCAGGGGACATGGGGACAGGACAGAAAGGCACATCAAGGCTTCCCATTAATGAGAATGAACAGTTTGGGCCCCAGGGACAGGTGACCTGTGGTTAAACAGGACAAGTCACCTGCTGAAGGAGAAGTGGCCAAGGGGTGCTTTGGTGTCAGATTAGTCTGGAAGTGAGAGACAAGGAGGAAGGCTCTGCCATCAGCTGGGTCTCAGGCGAGATGAGATTCCAGTTCCCCAGTGTGGGGTGGAGCCCCACCTGCCAGGACCTGGGCTGGGGGGCCTCG